AGCGTGGCTGTCCGCCCAGGAGGGAGCGTGGCCGTCCACCCGGGAGCGTGGCCGCCCGCCCAGGAGCGTGGCCACCCACCCGGGAGCGTGCCACGGCTCCCTTCACAGCGGGGCGGGGAAGCCGCTTCAGCACAGGCGACGTGCCGGCACAGCCACGCCGACTACTTGTGCATGAACGCACGGCTGGGTGATAAGTGACCGCTCAGAGCGAGGCCACCCGGCCACAGGGAGACAGACCAAGGAGGCGGCCCCAGGGTGCGGGCCGGGGCCCAGCCCCACTCCTCCCAGGGCCCCACCCCGCCCCAGCCGCCACTCCCCGGTCCACCAGGAGAGGGCCCCAGCAGTTGGGCGAAGGGGCAGTGACGGGGCGCCCAGGACGCTCCACGAGGAAGTGGCAGAGGCGCAGAAACCACGAGGCCTCTCCTGGACCGGATCTTGGCCCCAGACACCAGGGCTGGGGCTGGGGTCCTGAGCTGTCCACGCGCGGGGCCCCTGGCGTGTTGATCAGCGCAGTCCGCTCTTGGCAGGATACAAGACCCTCCTGAAAGGGATCTCCGGGAAGTTCAACAGCGGGGAGCTGGTGGCCATCATGGGGCCCTCGGGGGCCGGGAAGTCCACGCTCATGAACATCCTGGCCGGATACAGGTGAGGGGCCTGCGAGGGCCTGGGGCTCGGGGATCCTGCGGAGGCGGCAGGGGCCACTCGGCCTGGCGTCCACTCCCCAAGTTCCACACAGCTGCATCAGGGCCTGCGGGCTGGGCAGGGTGAAGACCACTGGGCTCTGGGGGTGACCTTGACCAAGGTGAGGGGCCGTGCCTGTTTGTGAGTGGTGGAGATGGACAGTGCCGAGTGGACAGTGCAGAGTGGACAGTGGAGGGTGGACAGTGGAGAGTGGACAGTGCAGAGTAGACGGTGCAGAGTGGATGGTGAAGAGTGGGCAGTGGAGAGTGGACAGTGCAGAGTGGATGGTGAAGAGTGGGCAGTGGAGGGGGATGGTGCAGAGTGGACGGTGGAGGGTAAATGATGCAGAATGGACAGTGGAGGATGGATGGTACAGAGTGGACAGTGCAAAGTGGACGGTGCAGAGTGGATGGTGCAGAGTGGACAGTGGAGGGTGGATGTGCAGGGTCGACAGTGCAGAGTGGACGGTGGAGAGTGGACATTAGGAGAGCAATCCCGGGCCGAGTGGCCAGGCCCAGCCTCAGGGCTTCTGGAACAGTCCCGAGGGCGGCAGAGGCGTGGACCCCTGGAAGGAAGGGCGGGAAGGCAAAGGGCGCCTGGCCATCGGCTGGCTGGCTGCGGTCAGCGTTTAGGAGTCGGGAAGCCACAGCCGCTGGTATCCTGGCCTGAGCGTCCCGGCCGTGTGTCTGGGCCAGGCCCCAGAGTGTCCGGGGACTGAGAGACTGGCGGCCACTTCTCCGGGGCCACTCGCACCACCGGAGGTGGCGGGCGGGCAGCGCCGGCCCTCGGGCCCCGAGCCC